AGACTCGGAAAATTATTGAAATAGCTATTACTCCAAGGGTTCAGGGGATCTCGTAGTCGAGTAGTCTCGACTAGAGCTTTCTTACTTGTTTAATATATCAAAATAGAAATTTTGAGCCGTACTAAATATGTGTTTTCTTGGTTTGGTTCAAGGTAGGATCTAGTCGAGCACTCCCGATTAGAGTTTTCTTACTTTTTTTTTTGCCTTTCTTTGACCAAATTTAAATGTTTAGTCGTACGATAAAAATACTTTCTTGTTTAATAATAGAATAAGATAATTATGTCTTTATATAGCATTTACATAAATCATAGCTATATGTTTTATATTTATCTGACTTACGCCGTCCTTTTTATCCCTATTAAATGCACCATGAAGGTATTCTAACGAGACATCGTCATTTTCATTTAGCCATTGCATGACAAACGGCTCAAACCAAGCTGGATACTCCGGCACAGCTCCTTTATAGGGTGGCACCTCCTTAACATAGTTACTATATAGCCATTTGACACGAAAGTGCAAGTTCATGTAAGCAGATGACTTGCAAAGCCGATGCTGCTCATGCTCTTCAAGCGCGTACTTCATGTCTACGGCGAAAAGGCCCCACATGGTAGCTGCCGATAGCTAGAGTCAATTAAAAAATAAGATTAATATTATAAAATATCTACGTAGTTCTTGGAATGTTATGGATGGGACGATGTACCTGTCCGATGTTCAATTCCTGGGGAAATTGATTGAGCACTGCCCCATAACTATTTTTGTCTTCATCGATAACAGATACAATCAATGCAATCAGCTTATGCCAGAAGTCAACGCTATCTAGTTTTGGGCCATGGTCATCAGTATCACGTTTCGCTTCGTTTGGATCCACCTGACAATGAAATGACGAAATTATCAATCGCATAGAGAGCCCCGAATAAGAGTCGAGATCAGAATTATATAAAATAAACTAATACTTTAATGAAGTCCTCCGCTCATAGATATATAAACATATTCATATATTTATATATGTTAATTACCTGAAACTCCCTATTGTAGAGCTCGTAACAGTTCTCAAAGAGGAATTGATAGGTGGATCTAAGACAAGCTTTCACGCAATCTTTCACAACTGTACTTGCTCTTGGAGGACTCGACAGCTCTTGTACCTAGTCAAGTCGATGTAAATCAAATGTAATTTAATAATTGGGCATATTTGCATACCTATATGCTTTTAACGTAAAATTACCTTCATGCGGAAAAATGTAATGCTAGTCAAGAGATCAACTGTTGACTTTAGATCCATTAGTTTTTCTTGACTCGAAGCAGGAAAGTTATTTCTGTACATCGATAGATCAATCCTTAACGAATTATGCAGCTGATCAAGCAGTTTTACGAACTTTTCCTTCTAAAAATAAGAATAATGTTGAATGAACATATTATTTCAAATAATTTTTTTATATAAATACGTACTCCAAAGTTGCTAGCTGCAAAACGATCACTGGCTGAAACCGCAGAAGAAGCGGTCGTGTGGGCGTAATATGCATTAATATTCGCCAACAGAGTGCTCATGACGGCTGGAACTCCCGGGCAGAGATACTTAGCGGAAAGGCAGTGAAAATGAGTCATTGCTTGATATATATTTTCGATACCATAACGCATTGAAAACTCGTCTACAATTTCTTCGGGAATTTCATCAAAGTAGAGCTTCCATGCATCATCGCCTTTTTGGGTGGGTAGCTTTACCTATATTATATATTATTAAATATATTTGTAATAAGCATCGTAATTGGAGTAAAGATGTATCGCTTACCATGCCGCTGTTTTCCTCACACAGGTAGTGAAAGAGATTTTCATGCAAACAGGTGTATTGGACATGATAAGGTGCTACCTTCTCCTCACCCTTTATTTCAACCGAGATATGGAGTCGTATAGCACCCGATACGGCAGACTTGTCGGTGCGCTTCTCTAGGTTGTACCACACATCCATTTCACCAGAGAGAGTTCGAACCTCTATGATTGTTTGGCCCAGAAAATCATCGGATTCCCGCGTCAACTTCTGTCGCAATTTCGACTTAAGATCATTATCCTCATCCCAAACTCGAACTTTTATACGATCTGAAGAGTTGTGACATTCGCTGCATATCCCATCAATGATTTAATTTTTTAAAATTTTTTAAATTTATATATAAGTATTTAAGTACTTGTTTGAAAGTGTGCATCTAAAAGGTAAATTACAGATAAATCTATACATGCGTCACGTGCATTGTGAGTGCCCTAAGCATATATTGTATATTTATTTATAAATACACGTATATATATATAATATATATTTCTTAAAAAAAAAAAAAAAAAAAAAAAAAAAAAAAAAGCTATTTAATAATTAACTACATTTTTCATATATGTGTATGTGTTCCAATATTTCACACATAGACGTATACAGATTTAAGTAAGAACAAGCAGAGAAACGACTTGATGATCATCAAATGTATTATATAGTATAGATGGATGTATATTTGTCTGGCCAGGTCAACTGATGGATACTGTGAATAGTCGCCGCATAAATTAGAAATGTGTCTAATATGTATATTAGGAAGCAAGTCGATAAATATAAGAAAAGCATAAAGTACATATGCCATTCGAGTGGGTATAACGAAGATTAAGTAATTACGTGTTAACTTCAATATGCATTACATTAGATAACTAATGAGAAATCATCAGGATTTGTTTATTTCTAAATTTCTCATTTTGATATTATACTTACAAGTTCATTCGGTAAAATTCATTAAGCTGATATTATATAAAAATATTAGACAGCCACATTGTATACATGTGTTATACTATGTACGTGGGCACTTAACTTTGAATTCCATTTGACTTAACCAATAAATGATTTCACCAATGCACCAACCAATTACCAGATATGGCAGTTGAGACATATATTAGGAGCTACTCCATCGAAGCTAAACTGAGCTAAAGGCCGACCGATTATATATACATACTTAAAAGTTCAATAGAATCCAACAGGATACCATGTATAAAATATCTAAATACAAGTAGTGACACTGAATATACTTTATTATAGAAATAATTGGAAATATTGGAATATGAATTAGGCATGTTATACTAGACCACAATCGGACAGCTATACAAAAGTTGTTTCAGGAATGAAACAATAGAAGAGTAGGCTGCAGAGCTTTAATGAAATTAATTACTTTTGAAAGCGCTTTAAAATGTCAGAAGTCCAAGTTCAGAAGATTCGGAAGATACCAAGATTCTTAAATTGATCCAACGGACCAAAGTCAAGATTATTCCATTGTTAGCAGTTAAAGCTGACGACAGCTTGTCGTCTCTATGAAACCGACTGAGTATGTATGTATGTATGTACGCCTTTTTATACATTCTTGTTTGTATGAACGACGGAAAAGAGCTAGGGCAAGGGCAAGAGGAGTGCTGAAATAGTGTGAGAAAGGGCCAACAGCAAAGACAGGCAACATAAGTTTATGTAGAATGCGTGTCATTATGTGTACATGTATAGTACATATATTTGGCAAGCACAAGCACGAACAACACACTTAATCAAAGATCCGCGCACGTGGACACTAGACAAAAGCTCAAGAGTAGGGAACTATGTTCATTCAGGTTTTAAACATTAAACTCAAATTCGCACTCACACATACACGCATACACAAATGGAATCGGCAAGAAATCGATGGGTTAAAAAAAAGTGAAAGAGAGAGAGAGACAGAGACAGAGACAGAGACAGAGAGAGAGACCGAGAATGAAAAATAGTAAAATTATACATACATTAGATTCACATACACATAGAGAAAATTATTAAGGATTAGAGAGAGAGAAAGAGTGCATGTGTTATATAAGTACTATTCGTGTGGGTAGTATGTACATTCAAATGGCAATTGTGGGAGTACACATGTATACATATATACATTTATATACAAAGATAGAAAACACAAAGAAAGCGGAAAATACATTGAAAGATACTCACAAGTGAAACTTCTCGTTCCACACAGGGTTTAGCTCCTGCGGCATTGTGCGTGTACGCTTTTTCACCTTGCTAACCTGCACCGTCACATATGGATCACTGGTACCGCTTTTATCCTTCGCTATCAGGCCTTGAGCACAAATCACTGTACAGTTGAGATCGGATAAGTTGTTGGATATATTTTGTAGTTGTATATATATATA